CATGCTAACCGCAGTTCCCTTGGCTTTTTGCAACAGTTCTAAGACTGGAAGCCGTTAAATATCTTTGGTTGGATCATAACAGGAATATTTCTTTTCCGAACAGGCCATATCAGCTGCAAAGTTAATTAATAATTAATTGCCTGGCGCCCCAACCGGGCGCCTCGGGCTGGAAAGCCGGGAGATAACACTCTCACAAAGCATTTCCGGGAACTTATTGCCGAAGTTTAAATATATACGCAAACGGAAAAGTTAATGAGCGCATATTAAAGAAGTAACAGTTAGAAATCATACAGACATAAAGGGTCAAGGCCAGGGCAGGCTAATTGAGGCGTTTCATTTCTTCGACAAGTACATGCCCTTTGGCTAATTGAGGATGCTGTCACGGAGTTGTAGATGCCACTATGGGATCAGGTCAATGTCATTGCATAGGTTAGCGTGATAATTTGGTGTATTTATGCAACCAATGACTCAAAATATTTCCACATCCATTTTGCTCACGCTATGTAGCTTAAACGCCAGCTACAAATTTGTTCTGGTCAGCACATAGTCAGATGTATGTAGAATGCCAAAATGAGGTCATAAGAGGTCAACATGGCACGCAGTAAGCTAGTCATGCCATACACGCCTATGGATTGCTTATTACACATAAATCCAATATAATCACTTTTAATCCTGCATCGGGGCATCTTAGTGCCTGAAGAGATCAAAACCTGTTGTTTGTCACAACCTTTTCTGACCTTTGAAAGGTATTCAACAGCTATGGGTAGGTTAGGGAAATTGATTTTGAACTTGCTGCATAAATGGCTCTCACTTGCTCATGTCTTGTTTGAAATGCCACACAGACAGAAGCGTGCACAACACTTATTTAGCCTTCGTGCACAATACATAAAATATTTTAACACATCATAATCAAATCCAACAAGCACCGCCTCCACGCCCCCGAACATCAATCAGGTGAACTGATGAAAAGCAAACGACACGCAGGGGATTCGGGCCAAGGTTGGTGAAATTGTTTTGTCTTCCGCGCCACGCATTTGGCACTTAGCAAAGACGAACCTATGGCGATAGACAGGGATGACAGGGGGCTGGGGGCATGGGGACGAGCCTGGACTTCTGGTTTCGAAGCCGAATCCGAAGACAAGACAATGACATGACGCCGAAGCCGAAGCCCGTGGCTTCAATGTTTAAAACTGCAAAGTGGAAGCCGAAGCCAGTGGTTTTACATTTAATTAAACAGCCGAATCCAAAGCCGGTGGCTTCGAACATTGTACACGCGAAACGTCAGCCGCATCTGAAGTCCGTGGCTTCGTGGTTCAGAAACGCAAAACAAAGGCAAATCACGATCAGAACAAAATTCCGAGACTGAATCTGAAGCCGAATCTGTGTAGAGCATATCAGTGTAGAGCGTACTGCGTTGTTTTCCGCGACTAAAACGTTCGTGATGCCTGCCAAAACTTGTACGGGATCGAGAAACATCACAAGGGCTTTGCGGAATGGTTGAGGCAGAGTGTCGGTATTACGGGAGGAGATTTTCCGACTATCATCCTCGCCCTCTGTATTAGCACGTACATAACCTTTCGGACAGTTAGTTTCCCCGCCATCGCCAGGTAAAAATTTGCCCAAGGCATGACTAGCTGATTTGGGCTCCCAGACGTGTATGCGTAGCGGCCTCGAAGTCGTTTGGCGTATTGTGGTAACGGGATAGACGAGACTCTTTTTGCAAAGTAAAGCCGTGGCTGCAGCGTAAAAATCAACATGACAAAGCCGAAGCACTTCTAGTTCGCGTCGAGCCAAAACCGAAACCATAATTCGCAACTTATTTAAAGCCACAGCAGGAACCAGTTGTTAAAAATGGCACGCTGCCTTAGCTGAGGGTACTCGTTCAAAAACTCAAAGCCGAGGCAGAAACCGAGGCGAACCGTGAAAGTGGCTCAAAAGGACAGACTGAGACAGACCAGTCAAACCAGCGTGTCTGCCGTTACCTTGTCTGCCGAGCGCCAGTTTGCCGGCGGCCGTCATACCGAGACAGGCCAGCGTGTCTGCCGTTACCTTGTCTGCCGAGCGCCAGTTTGCCGGCGGCCGTCATGCTAAGACAGGCCAGCGTGTCTGCTGTTACCTTGTCTGCCGAGCGCCAGTTTGCCGGCGACCGTCATGCCGAGACAGGCCAGCGTGTCTGCTGTTACCTTGTCTGCCGAGCGCCAGTTTGCCGGCGGCCGTCATGCCGAGACAGGCCAGCGTGTCTGCTGTTACCTTGTCTGCCGAGCGCCAGTTTGCCGGCGGCCGTCATACCGAGACAGGCCAGCGTGTCTGCTGTTACCTTGTCTGCCGAGCGCCAGTTTGCCGGCGGCCGTCATACCGAGACAGGCCAGCGTGTCTGCTGTTACCTTGTCTGCCGAGCGCCAGTTTGCCGGCGACCGTCATGCCGAGACAGGCCAGCGTGTCTGCTGTTACCTTGTCTGCCGAGCGCCAGTTTGCCGGCGGCCGTCATGCTAAGACAGGCCAGCGTGTCTGCTGTTACCCTTGTCTGCCGAGCGCCAGTTTGCCGGCGACCGTCATGCCGAGACAGGCCAGCGTGCCCGCCGTTACCTTGTCTGCCGAGCGCCAGTTTGCCGGCGACCGTCATGCCGAGACAGGCCAGCGTGTCTGCTGTTACCTTGTCTGCCGAGCGCCAGTTTGCCGGCGACCGTCATGCCGAGACAGGCCAGCGTGTCTGCTGTTACCTTGTCTGCCGAGCGCCAGTTTGCCGGCGACCGTCATGCCGAGACAGGCCAGCGTGCCCGCCGTTACCTTGTCTGCCGAGCGCCAGTTTGCCGGCGGCCGTCATACTAAGAATGACCAGCGTGTCTGCCGTTACCTTGTCTGCCGAGCGCCAGTTTGCCGGCGACCGTCATGCCGAGACAGGCCAGCGTGTCTGCCGTTACCTTGTCTGCCGAGCGCCAGTTTGCCGGCGACCGTCATGCCGAGACAGGCCAGCGTGCCCGCCGTTACCTTGTCTGCCGAGCGCCAGTTTGCCGGCGACCGTCATGCTAAGAATGACCAGCGTGTCTGCTGTTACCTTGTCTGCCGAGCGCCAGTTTGCCGGCGACCGTCATGCCGAGACAGGCCAGCGTGTCTGCTGTTACCTTGTCTGCCGAGCGCCAGTTTGCCGGCGACCGTCATGCCGAGACAGGCCAGCGTGCCCGCCGTTACCTTGTCTGCCGAGCGCCAGTTTGCCGGCGGCCGTCATACTAAGAATGACCAGCGTGTCTGCCGTTACCTTGTCTGCCGAGCGCCAGTTTGCCGGCGACCGTCATACCGAGACAGGCCAGCGTGTCTGCTGTTACCTTGTCTGCCGAGCGCCAGTTTGCCGGCGACCGTCATGCCGAGGACAGGCCAGCGTGTCTGCTGTTACCTTGTCTGCCGAGCGCCAGTTTGCCGGCGGCCGTCATGCTAAGACAGGCCAGCGTGTCTGCTGTTACCTTGTCTGCCGAGCGCCAGTTTGCCGGCGACCGTCATGCCGAGACAGGCCAGCGTGCCCGCCGTTACCTTGTCTGCCGAGCGCCAGTTTGCCGGCGACCGTCATGCCGAGACAGGCCAGCGTGTCTGCTGTTACCTTGTCTGCCGAGCGCCAGTTTGCCGGCGACCCGTCATGCCGAGACAGGCCAGCGTGTCTGCTGTTACCTTGTCTGCCGAGCGCCAGTTTGCCGGCGACCGTCATGCCGAGACAGGCCAGCGTGCCCGCCGTTACCTTGTCTGCCGAGCGCCAGTTTGCCGGCGGCCGTCATACTAAGAATGACCAGCGTGTCTGCCGTTACCTTGTCTGCCGAGCGCCAGTTTGCCGGCGACCGTCATGCCGAGACAGGCCAGCGTGTCTGCCGTTACCTTGTCTGCCGAGCGCCAGTTTGCCGGCGACCGTCATGCCGAGACAGGCCAGCGTGTCTGCTGTTACCTTGTCTGCCGAGCGCCAGTTTGCCGGCGGCCGTCATACCGAGACAGGCCAGCGTGTCTGCTGTTACCTTGTCTGCCGAGCGCCAGTTTGCCGGCGGCCGTCATACCGAGACAGGCCAGCGTGTCTGCTGTTACCTTGTCTGCCGAGCGCCAGTTTGCCGGCGACCGTCATGCCGAGACAGGCCAGCGTGTCTGCTGTTACCTTGTCTGCCGAGCGCCAGTTTGCCGGCGGCCGTCATGCTAAGACAGGCCAGCGTGTCTGCTGTTACCTTGTCTGCCGAGCGCCAGTTTGCCGGCGACCGTCATGCCGAGACAGGCCAGCGTGCCCGCCGTTACCTTGTCTGCCGAGCGCCAGTTTGCCGGCGACCGTCATGCCGAGACAGGCCAGCGTGCCCGCCGTTACCTTGTCTGCCGAGCGCCAGTTTGCCGGCGACCGTCATGCCGAGACAGGCCAGCGTGTCTGCTGTTACCTTGTCTGCCGAGCGCCAGTTTGCCGGCGACCGTCATGCCGAGACAGGCCAGCGTGTCTGCTGTTACCTTGTCTGCCGAGCGCCAGTTTGCCGGCGACCGTCATGCCGAGACAGGCCAGCGTGCCCGCCGTTACCTTGTCTGCCGAGCGCCAGTTTGCCGGCGACCGTCATGCCGAGACAGGCCAGCGTGTCTGCCGTTACCTTGTCTGCCGAGCGCCAGTTTGCCGGCGACCGTCATGCCGAGACAGGCCAGCGTGTCTGCCGTTACCTTGTCTGCCGAGCGCCAGTTTGCCGGCGACCGTCATGCCGAGACAGGCCAGCGTGTCTGCTGTTACCTTGTCTGCCGAGCGCCAGTTTGCCGGCGACCGTCATGCCGAGACAGGCCAGCGTGCCCGCCGTTACCTTGTCTGCCGAGCGCCAGTTTGCCGGCGACCGTCATGCCGAGACAGGCCAGCGTGTCTGCCGTTACCTTGTCTGCCGAGCGCCAGTTTGCCGGCGACCGTCATGCCGAGACAGGCCAGCGTGTCTGCTGTTACCTTGTCTGCCGAGCGCCAGTTTGCCGGCGACCGTCATGCCGAGACAGGCCAGCGTGCCCGCCGTTACCTTGTCTGCCGAGCGCCAGTTTGCCGGCGACCGTCATGCCGAGACAGGCCAGCGTGTCGAGCGCGGACAGGCGACGAGTGTGGTCCGGCTCGGCCGCCATCGAGAGCAGGTTGGCAGCGAACGACGGGTACCGTGACAGCACGTGTTCAGGCCGGTCGTGCCCCACCTGGCCGAAGAACTTCATCACACCTGTCGAAGTGGGCCCACACGTCAGTGCCGGGGCTAGCGGACGGAGACGAGTGCGGAGAGCGGCGAGGGTGCGCCACTCACGATGAATGTACGAGAGTTGGGTGCGGACGGTCCACCAAAGCAACGTGACCTAACGCCGTGAGAGTCACAGGAGTGGCGAACTCGGGCCGACAGACCGCCAAAAATAACCTAACCTGTTCATACCAGTTCTACAAATTTGGCTACCAAACCACAACACCGGGTGGGCGCATTCCAAGAACAGCGGGTCATGCAACGCCAATCGCGCGGCCCAATCCAGTTAAACATTCAGCACATTGATCGCCAGGGGACTGCGGTCGGGGCACCTGCCGTTCCTGGCGCCGCCGGCGCCGCCCGGTCCGGCAGCACCACCTACCCGGCAGGATGTAGTCGTGCATCGACGCGTCCTCGGGCACGGTCAGCAGCTTCTCCAGCCGCTGGGTAACGCCCTCCGCCTCCAGGTGCTCGAAGCCGTGGTCTGGGGCGCGCCGGGACGGCGGTGAGCCGCTTCGGACCAGCTCAGCGCAGGGGCACGCACAGATCGACACCAGGGACGCCCGGTCGGCGAAGTCGGCTGAGCGAGTCTCCGAACGCGTTTCGACACAGGCAGATAGCTGCAGGTTCCGAGCGTTCTGGGCGGACACTCCGAAATCGATTTCCCCTCACTTAATTCGGCTTAATATTTATATAATATATAATAATTTCGACTTAACGATGTCCATTAATTGCAGACACGCAGTGCTGAGGATGGCTTCTACACTAACGAGATCTTCGCTAATGGCATCGATTCAAACGGAACATTTGGAAACGCAAATGCCGGGAAAAACGGAAACTACTAGCCCCCGCGTCTTCGTTGATTGCACTAGCTGTCAAAGCATTAAATGAATAAGAACGGGCCCCAGAGCAGCAATCATCGCTGAATCATAACCAAAGCCGCCGCCATACACTTTTGCAACACCGTGGCCGCGCCGTGCGCCGCGCATCCAACGCTCCCGGCCGCGTCCCGGGCCAGCCTGCGCCACTCACCGGCCCGCGCCAGCGTGGTGAGCAGCTCGAGGGCGTTCAGCTGCACCAGAACGTCGCGGCCGAACACCTCCTGCACCAGCTCAGGCAGCAGGCCCACGTCCGTCAGAAGCTTCATGTTCTCCCGTGACACGCACGAAACGCTGACCGCCACCTGCCGGCCGGAAGGGGTACTGGTGCTTACAGAACGGCAGCGCGGCAGATGGACGGCCATCTAATGCGGCGTGTAGGCGGTCAGGTCCAGGATAACAAGTGAGAAACTGGACAGGGTAATGCCATGCACACGCATTAACATGCCATCTTTCAGGGACTTTTACTGACACCATGTAGTGCTGGCAAATTCAGCATGGTCGCAATTATTTGGATCAATGATTATACCTGAACCCAAATTGCAGATAAAAAAGTGGAAGAAATTGCAGCATAATGCATGGCTGACATTGGTTTGATCTTTGACAACTGTTGTGACAACTATCTCCAGGTATTTCACGCCCATTTTCAAACACAAAAAGCAAACAGGTGGAGGGTGGGTGCTCATCCGAGCTCACCTCGTATCCCCGGTAGCGGACGACGTCGCTGGAGGCCATGGTTTGGCGCAGCTGGTCGAGCAGTGGCGGGCTGAACACCAGTAGGACGGCCTGTTGGCTGCTACAGGCCAGCGCCGTCACCACACGTATGGCCGCCGAGCCCACTGACGCCTCGCGGCACCCTGCAGATAGTCAGCCAGGTCAGCACAGATAGAGCAGCCAACACCCACCAGAGGTTGGAGGTGCTGCGCAGCTCTGGTGATGATTGGCTGTTGGTATAGAGCACAATGATAAGGGGAAATTTCAGTCTGACAGCATCATTGTCAATCCATATTTCACAAACAGGTGGCAGACAGATAAAGCTAACACAATGTGTGGAATACTAAAGTTCAAGATCAGAAAAAAACTTAAAAAGCTAATCTCAAAACATCATTGGAGGTGAACAAATCATACCAATGCAGCTGATAACATTCTTCAGTAATCCAGAATGGAGTTTCAAGTTCCTCAATGCACTGTCATCAGCAACACATCGTGACACCTGTAAAAAGACAAAGGTTATGTACCCATTCTGATCAATCCTGTCAAACCACATGGGATGCTGAGATGCATCAGACTGTTTTTTTATATTTGGACTAAGGACTCAAAGATATGCAAGAATCTCCCAGGGATGCTATTTCAAAAAGCTGCCATACTGGCAAAGAAAATTGCAGGAGCTCCATAATATTTTTAGTTCAAAAGATGCATCAGCTAACTCAAATCAAGAGTTGCCTGGGGCCTAAAGTCATGTGGCAAACAGCAGATGAGGAGATCCAGCAGCTCACCTGTTTGAGCACCAGCAGTTTGACAGCCTCCATGGGGTGGGACAGAGCTCGGTCAAGCTCAGTTGGGTACCTCATGATGTTTACAGAGGCTGGACTTGCAACTAACAGCTTGCCAAGCACATCAGAACATGTCTCCACCTGCTCCCTATGAAAATAAAGTACATGATAGCAGAACAATTACAATGGATGAAATGAAAGACAACACCAAACTGTTCTTTTTTAACATCATTTACTTCACTTGCTAACCTTTGAAACTGGAGCAAGAAAAACCATTACACCTCTGAAGGTGTTATCCAGAATGCTTGCAGTATGCATTAATTTTAAGATTCCAAAAATCATGAAATTGTGTCATATGCTGGGCTCAAAAATGGCATCAGCTTATAACTTTTGCTTGAATTTTGTATTACATTTTACCTTTCTAAACAAAATGTCCATTTTTATTACCCCTAGCTATGCTTCTCCCTACTGTTATCTGCACATGGGTCAGGTTCCTAATTGAAGTTGAAGAACATTGCTCTATACACGAACCATGAGCAGCCTAAATTTAAAGTCAAGAGAGCATTGCCACAATAATGCTTGCTTAATTTTTGAAATGGAAGCAGCAGCATATGAATGCATAATCATCCCCAGAACAAGTATCAAACATGGTATGTTAGTCAATTATCAAGAAAACAATCCAATGAGCAGCTAACTTACTTGCTGGAGCTGTTCAAGCAGTCAAATAGAATTTTTAGATCGAGCTCATCGCCAGCATTTTGAATATGATCAATACGGAGCGTAGATAAAACGTTCTTCAGTTCGTCCAGGCCAGACTTTGGTTCGGAAGAGATCGATATATTTTGGAGCAGGATAGAAAGATCACTAACGGACACAGCCATTGTTCCCACTGCAGATGACCTCTGCCCCAATTATTGGACACAGACAAATTGAGAAAACTTGAAATTGTCCAATTGATTTGAATGGACACGTCTCCGAGACGCTCGACTGGGCGGAAGGATTCTGGAAAAACAACGGGTAAGCCAAAACGGGACAGAACCGAGCCCCGCAATGACGAGGCTTATGTGTGTGTTCTGATTTGTCGTCGCGCCATCAATTGGCTCATGTACACAATCCAGAACTCCTAAATTGATCTTTCAGTCATGAATTATTTTGGCATATAATTCTCCCTACAAGCAATTACCACTACAGAAATTGAACTGATAAATTACAGAATTCCCAGAACTATTTGAAATGCGCAAGCTGCCATCAAATCAGAAATGTTCTTGAATACAAAAAATAAGTAGCGCATCCCAGAGTGTTTTGCCAAATGAACAACTGAATCTAGCCCACGGAGGCAGATTTTTGTCAGGGTCGATGTTGAGTTGGCCCTCCCCTGATATGGTTGCTTAGGCCCGTGGTACCAATATTTTTAGGAAGAATATCACAAAAGGGTGGGAAGAAGTGGACAATCGCACATAGACTATCTTTTTAGTATTATTTCTGGTCATGACTACAGGAGTGGACCAGGGAAAGTTATCTTAGTTTTCGAGATCTCAGGCCCAGTCAAAATGACCCCCATCTGAGCGAAGGTTATTCAACCGGCCAACGGCCAACGGACGTCTGTTAACTGCCAGAATCGTATGTACATATTGCATATTAACACGCAAGACGAAACAACAGTTTGTTTATTTAAGAAGCCAAAAACGCCAGCTTCGGCTTCGCAGATCGATACTTAAGAGCATCGACTTCGGCTTCAACTTCGGCTTCATGTCGTTATCTTGGCTTTGATTTCGGGTTCGAAGCCAGAAGTCGGTCTTTGTCCCAGTGGCTGGCGTGGCTAATTAAGCTGTGCAAACAATATTATGCATCATAAAACTTAACATGCCTCAAGAACAAGTATCCGGCCATGTGAGCTACCGTCTTAGGATGGTACTTTTAGTCCATGGGGCACGTGATACTGTGATGATGGGACGGAATCTCTTCTACCGAACCACCAGAATGGGGGAATTTGACGTGTATAATACACAGGAACAAATTGCCAGAGGTCGGAAAGTATACTGGACTGTCTCCCAACTGCCGTTTCCGGTCCCACAGCCTGTCTTTCCAGCCCATTCAAGAAAACAGCCTCTTAAGTAAGCTCTAAACATTTTTAGGGTTCAATTATTTTCTATACACAGTACCTTAAACCTGCATTCCTATAAATTTACTCCAGTACAAATGTTTTGTCTTTCGGCGCGCGCAACAGAGAGATTCCTTCGCCGTGAGTGAAGCAGGCGTGGGGACACATCTCTCGTGTTACCTAGGACGAATTCGTGCTGTTAACGGGAGCTGGACGCTGAAAATACCAAAAGCAATAGATTTACTCGTTATTATACTGCTTCGCTACCTACCGCAAGTTTTATGCACAACCCACGGTGCACACAAAGCTGGGGCGTGCTGTAAATACTGCTAGTAAAAGAAAAACGGAGTTCCTTTATGCCAACGATATAACCTTATGACCCCCAAGACAAACAACCCACTCTTCCCACCATTACCCACCATCACCCGTTACCCACCATTCTGTAACGTCCATGCCTGTCATCTTCCTCCCGCACCAAATCAAAAAAAATCGGTATAACACGGCTGGAGTCATGTTTGTTGACAGTGTGCCTCTCGTGGTTTTTCATATACCCTTGAAGAGACACCCATTATACCCACATTTAACTTTTTGACGTGATGTATGTGGCATCGTGGACTCATGAGTCTTGGCCTTCCACGAGTACGAGGCGCGGCTAATAAAACCTGACCGTTATCGTCAATAGACAGACAAGTGCGGGTGGACAAGATCTTCTACTTTCCAATCCAATGCCCCTCGCCAAAGGCTCCCACTTCCCGGCAAAGCCAATGGCGCGCAATGGTGCGCACATCTAACGCGCGCACGCACATGTGGTTTAAGGATGAACGCATTGTTAACTAGTGCTGAGGGTCATGGGAGACACTATCGTGACGTCAGTTGCCATATTTTACGCTTTTCACCCAGTTGTGTGCAGCATATGACAAAAATAAGTCATGTTTTTTCCTTATGTATAGAAAGGCGTCTTGTATAAACCTTTCGTAGCCCATTCTTCTCTCGAAGGTCATTTGTTTTACACTGACGTCTTAAGACGTGGTACCGTGACATTAGTGTCTCCGAAAAAAAATGAAACCGGGCGCCAAATTTGTCGGGGTGAAAATCCCTTCAAACGCTATTGAAAGTTAATCATTCTGCATTGAAGCCCCTTGCAGCCCCTGCTACTGCCCCGTCCGAATGTCTCCGGTCCTGTCTCCTGTACTGCTTTCGCCATGCCGAGGGGAGGAGACAGAAGGCGGAGCGGGGCAGGGCCGGTGGAACGTGTGCGGGGTACTACTGGTTTCCTTATTCTGTCTGTGTATATTGTGCCTTGTGTGTCTGGAAACTTGAATGTGTTGAAAGTGCCTCGGGTATATTTTGCAGACACCTTGGCTGTCTTTTCATAACACAGGGGTCATCCAAAGCCCTCATGGGACCTATGGGTAGTCCTTGTATTCTTAAGGATATCGCTGGCCTCCCTCGCAACGTTTCCAGGCCTCAGGGATGCAACTGTATTATAACGAAACGTTTTTCCAGAATTGAGACCATCTTGTTTGGGGGGGGGGGCCAATCCCAGTGGACAATTTTTAGGTTTTAGGGAATTTCTGCGGAGTCTGCCCGTACATTTAACCCCTGGGAATATTTCCAGGCTTCAGGAGCATCATTACAGCCATTCGGCTCGCCTTTAAGACTTGGGGCGACTTTTTCAGGTCGTCTTTTTCGCTACTGGGATGCATTGTCGGATCTTACGAACCACTAGAAAGCTAGAACTTGTGAAGTGCGTGTACAAGCGTTCTGGTGAAACGTTAAAACCTCAAAAGCTCACACAGAACGCTAAACGTATTTCACACAATCACTACAACTCCCTAGAGACAGCAAAGTGAACACATTATGTGTAGATCCTCCCAATAGGAATATCATCATACTGTGCACGCCATAGCTCGCGCGTGCCATTTCGGCTGCCCAACGCCACTCCCACGCCTTCCGTTAGTTTTTCCGCAGAGATTGAGCATTGCTGTCTTGTGGAGTCGTGGCCATCCCTATGTCGCAGTGCACTTTCCTTAATGTTTGATTGACTCTGTCCATCTTTTCATCATCATCATTATCATCGTTGACCCATTTCACCTTTGCAATAAGAGACGATGAATTCTTCGACGTTTGTTCCAAAAGTTTTTTTACTTCTACGGTGAAATAAGGCACAAGCATGCCACGCCAGATAAATGTAAATCTAAGGACGTCGTCGCCTGAGTGATGCTGGTAATCATAGCTCTCAAACAGCCTTGTTTGTAACGTAGGCTATGTATTTTGCATGACTAGCGTTGACCTGCGCCAACAAAGACATTTTAAATTTTTTCGGGTCATCACTGACAGGTGAAATGAAAGAAATGTAAAACGCTACCGTTTAAGGACATTACTTGAAAACTTTAAATAGATAACCATTGAAAAAGTGCGCATTACATGACCGGACCTGCCAACCTGGATATGGACCTGGACTTCTGACAGTACCGAAACACAGGCCTAGATCCAGCGAAGCTCAAGCTATTTATTTATGGCAGCCCAATTTTCAAAATCTGCTGCGGCGGAGTCCGAGAGTTGACGCTGCAACCCTATGTCTTGTGACGATAGTTTATTAATATGATCATGACGTTCTGGGATAGTACAAAGTCCCTGTTGGAATTTCGAAATCGTTTAGGTGTTTTTCCTGCTTGTTTTCTCTGGTATGCGGACAATAGCAGATCACGGTAGCAACATTACGGCCCTCCCCTAAGTCAATGGAAGTCAGTGCCTTTGCGCTCCCGCACAAAAGCCGATTGGATTCCGGAGCCACCAATCAACCAAACATAATTTTCTGAATTTCTAAAATATAGAATTACTGTTGTAACCGTTCTGCTTTCGTATCCATGCCGTATGAAATGGCCAGCATGAAATGGAGAATATCATATAAAATGGTGGATGGAATAAAAAAACAGCGAATATGATAGCAAACACATTTGATGCAAATAGTACCAAATATAGCGTACAGTCTGTGAAAGATGATGGCTATAGGTGTACGCTAAAAATGTAGTATACAACTGAAATGTTAATTTCAAAATGGTTTGATTTGTATGCAATAAATTTACCAGCAAAGTCCTTCACATTACATACATTTGAGCGTTTCGCATTTTACTGATACTCTTTTGCAAGTGGCGTATATTGCCGCTAATGGCGGGGACGAAAGCAGGGATCTCTAGTTCCAAGACCAGAACGATTGCGTGAAAGGTGCTAGTCTTAATGTTTGCAGTTTTCGGCAATACTTGTTAAAAAGTGCTTGCTTGGCCTGACTTACACTTTTGAAACTAGCATTTCGTGTGAAACACCTTGAAGTCCACACTCGTCTTTAACTATACTGAAGTAACGCTTGATCTCTTTTTTGGCCTTGCCAAAATCGAGCGTGCAAAATAGGCTTGAGCTTCATGTGCGGAAACCAATGGGTTTTGAAATCAAAACTGGCCATGATTAAGAATTTCAAGAAGTTCATTGAGCTCCCAGACTTCGTTGATCACACGGATGCTTGGCTAACGGAGGTGGCAGATGACAAATTAGTGGATGTGAGTATTTCGCACGTTGGCGTTGCCACGGAGGACACCGTGCAGTAACGTGATGTCTGCGACTTGAAAACCATTCCCGCGAAGGAGAGGAAATTAGAGATGTTCCGGGGAAATTATTTTAAATTTGGGTGTTTCATTGTTGTCAAACGTTAGCCCAGACAAGTTTTCCTCATAGGCTAAATGTGACATTAACGCCACCAGTGCACCGGTCTCGTGGAAGCTGTTTTATGTCAAGCAATATTTTTTATTCTACCAATGGTAGGTTGGGAGCCTAACATAGGTTATTTGTGGCCCGCATTTGCTTGTTGTAAGGTTCCATGAAATCGTTTGGTAATAGGACGCGTTTTTTGGCACCCCAAAGTTACTTTAGATCATGTGTCCAATTTAGC